CGGGGACAACTGCCCCCTCCCACGCCGGCTGCCCCCACACTGCCTCCCCTTGCCGTCTTCTCCCGAGCACTTCGGATCCGTCCTTTAAGACGCACTCAGATGTCACTCCTTGGAAGCCCTCCCTACCCCGCCACAAATAATGGACGCGTGTTCCCTAGCTCCCCAGCCCTTTCAGCCCTTTCGCCACCTCACACTTTCTAGGGGGAGTCCTTGTTGCCCGTCTGCGTGGCTGCTTCCCCCTCTGAAGCGTTAGCTTCAGGACAGAGCCTTGGTCACCCCCAAGTCCCAGCTCCTCACGCCGGAAAGGGGCCCAGCGGGGAAGGAGAGGGACGCTGAGGGTGCCCGGTCCTGTGACTTCATTCCTGCATTTCTTCACTCCCCTGTCCTTCCACTCCTGCCCCGGTGAGAAGAGGAACAGAACTCTGTGTTGAGAGTGGGCCGAAGCCCTGCAGGTGGTCAGAGGAAAGGGGAGCTCTGGGCTCAGGCTGGGAATGTTCCCCAAGGAAGAGGAGCCTTCGGGGCTGGGTGGAGTGGAGGGAAGGTCTGTGGGCACCCGGCCCCAGCACCTCGTGGGTGTGGTGATTTACCCTTTTGGAGACGGAGAATAATAGGAACTTATTTGTATATTTATACACTGGATGCTTTGCATACATTCTGCCATTTACAGTCTCTGGTGTATAATTATCGTGTTCCCCATTTTGTGGATGGAGAAGCTGATTCTCCTAAGAAGGTTGCCAAAGGCCACAATTAGAAATAACACAGCTGAACTTCCAAACCTGGGGCAGTACTCTCTCTGTTGTGCCCCCTTGTCTTGTTTTCTTCCCTTCTTTTATTCAGCAAGTGGTTTTTTTGTTTGTTTGTTTTGGTGCCAGGGATCGAACTTGGGTCCTTGCGTTTGCGAGGTGGCGGAACCACTGAGCTAAATTCCCGGCCCAGCAAGTGGTTCTTAAAGGGATGAACAAATCATCTTACGGGGAGGACAGGTAGTGCACGGCTAGCAAGGCAGGCTAAGGCTAGAGGGACTCTCCCTCCTCCAAGGAACCGGTGATCTGAATAGAGTAGCTGCTTGGCGTGCAGATGTTCCACACAGAGGTGTACACCCCTACCCTGCTTCCAAGTAGATCAACTGCCCTGCCCTCCTCCCAGGTAGAAACCCGGGCCTTGGGGAGCCCTTGACGTCCATTAGACAGGAATTTGTGAGCATAGGCAGTCCCAGGTCTGTCCACAGGCTGAGCCTGACGGGGCAGGCAGGGGAGGAGAGCAGAGCGTGTGGCCCCCAGGACGCGGGTCCCTGGGAACAGGGTCACCCCTTGCCTGACGCCAGCTGGCTCCGTCCAGCGTCATCCCACCTCACCTGCCATCCTCTCATGCCGACCGCGCGAAGCCCCCCGACTCGGTGCCCGCTTCCCGCTCCGTCTTTCCTGTCCCCTCTGATCCACATCTCACTCATCACAGGTCACCTTGTCTTGGATCTGGCCCAGGCCCGGTCCACGCTGGTGCTGCCCACGGGCCTTATCGCCGCCGCCGGCACCATGACAGTGACCCTGAGCAGCAGCCGGGAGCTCCCCTCCAGGCCCGATGGGGTGCTGCACGTGGC